CGAGGGAGCGAAGGGGAGAGATCGGGGGGAGTGGGGAACGTGGGGAGTGGACCGGTTAGGGTTCCGGTCGGGGTGGGGGGTTAAGGGGCCATGGGGGTGGGCCGGCCTGGCAGGGACTTGGCCCAGTTGGGCCGGGGGCTGCTAGGCCGGAGCCCCGGGGGGTTCTTTCCTTTTTGTGTGTGTGTGTGTGTGTTAGTTCTGTTTCTGTTTTGATTCCTTTTCTTATTTTCTTTTCTGTTTCATTTGTAGTTTCTTTTAATTTTTAGTTTTAACAAAAATCACCACTAGTACCTAAAGTAGTATTTATAAGTAAATTGTTGTCACATCAATTCTTAACCCATAATAAAATATTTTTAATATTTTATAAAATCCAATAGGTATTTGTTTAATTGTTTTCACTACTGTTTTAATTAGTTTAGAGCCCTTAAACATTTTATCAAGGTTTGGTTTCTCCATCGTATTTACACATGATTTATCTGACCCACCTTGAACATTTTGGTTACATTGTTTGAAAACTTTTATTATTTGCCTTTAATTGAATTTGAATTTGAATCGGTTTCAAACTAACACGAGATTAGCGATAGTAATCGAAGTGGTGTGGCATCATTAGCAGAGAATTACTGTAGCTTAATTATCCGGGCGTCACAAGATGGAATTACTGGTGGAGACAAATTCGGAGGTGTAGACCGAGATCTTCTCAATTCTGAAGAAAATGCAACGTGAAACTACCCACCCTCCACCCCTGGATATCCAACTTCTACCTCTATAACTGTTGAGAAGGAACCACCTCAAGTGTAAGTGCAAGCTGCAATTGGAAAGAAAATTGAAAATCAAGGTGAATCTCTAGCACAATTACGATTGGAGGAGTTACAGTTACACAATTTAGACTAAAAACTCATTAACAGAAAAAAGGGTATCAATTTATGAAAAGCATTTCCAAAGGTCATAAAATGGTTTTCCCCTGTTTCAGTGGTGACAACTTTTTGAGTTGGATCGGACAAGTGAAGAAAAAATTCCAACTAGCTCAAGCTCCCCAAGAATGCAAAGTTGACCTTACTTTGAAATAGGCAGATTTGTAATGGTACAAACGGTGCTAGGGATAGTGATCATCAAATTTCTCTTGGCATTATTAAAGTATGCAGTTCTACGGCCTAATGAAAGTCCTTATACTTCTCCCCCTATCTTGGTTAGAAAAAAGGTGGAATATAGAGGCCCAATGTGTGGGTGGGTGGGGGTGGGGCACACTGAGCTTCACAATCAATCAAGAACAAATCCTTATTCATGTAATAGAGGATTTACTGGACGAGGATGAATATCACCAAATTAGAATGGGTCCTGATGGTGTGCACAAGACTACATTCAGGACATGTCTTGGGCATTTTGAGTACCCGGTAATGTTATTTGGTCTTACTAATGCCCCTGCAACAATTCAAGCATGAATGAACAAGATTTTCCCTCCATATCTCATGAAGTTTGTACTAGTGTTTTTTATGACATTTTCATATATTGTAAAACTCTCGAAGAGCATAAACACTACTTGATAAATGTTATGGAAATTCTATGATGACTTTTTCTCAAGAAGTCTGAATGCACCTTTGGTTCACCTACTATTGAGTATCTGGGACACATCATTTATGCTCTTTGCGGATGATGTGGTGCTAGTTGACGATAGTCGGACAGGGGTAAATAGGAAGTTAGAGTTGTGGTGACAAACCTTGGAATCGAAAGGGTTTAGACTTAGTAGAACTAAAACCGAGTACATGATGTGCGGTTTCAGTACTACTAGGCGCGAGGAGGAGGAGGTTAGCCTTGATGGGCATGTGGTCCCACAAAAGGACATCTTTCGATATTTGGGGGTCAATGTTGCAGAAGGATGGGGGCATTGATGAAGATGTGAACCATCGAATCAAAGCCGGATGGATGAAGTGGCGCCAAACTTCTGGCATTCTCTGTGACAAGAGAGTGGCACAAAAGCTAAAAGGCAAGTTTTATAGGACGGCGGTTCGACCAGCAATGTTGTATGGCGCTGAGTGTTGGCCGACTAAAAGGCGACATGTTCAACAGTTACGTGTGGCGGAGATGCGTATGTTGAGATGGATGTGTGACCACATGAGGAAGGGTCTAGTCTGGAATGATGATATACGAGATCGAGTTGGGCTAGCACCAACTGAAGAGAAGCTTGTTCAACATCGTCTAAGATGGTTTGGGCATATTCAGCGTAGGCCTCCAGAAGCTCCAGTGCATACCGAACAGCTAAAGCATGCGGTGAATATCAGGAGAGGTTGACTGAATTTGACATGGTAGGAGTCCGTAAAGAGAGATCTGAAGGATTGGAGTATCACCAAAGAACTAGCTATGGATAGGGATGCGTGGAAGCTTGCTATCCATGTGCCCGAACCATGAGTTGGTCGCGAGATCCTATGGGTTTCACCTCTAGCCTACCCCAACTTGTTTGGACTAAATACTATTATTGTTGTTGTTGTTGTTGTTGTGTAGCAACTGACCCAGTAAAATTGCAACAATAACATGAAGTCGGTTAAATGCATTTGAACGGTTGACAAAAGGTCCGAAATGGTTAGGCATGTGCAAGACGAACATTCCCGCATTCTAATAATGTTAATGTATGTTGTCAGAGGGATCACAAAAACCGACCATATATTACGGTGTGTCTCGGTCGACTTGATTTTCTTTTGCATCTTTGATGAGGCCACATACTTCCCTTCCATTTCCAACATTCACAATTATAGATAGAAGCAGAGGAACAAATAAATTAATCTCACACTGACGGTAAAAAGCTAAACTTAAAGGAGAGAAAATGAGAATAGAAAGGAAACATGCTATTTAGTTCAAACTGAACATATTTGAAATCAAATCGCAAGAAATTTGAAAGGAAATAAAGGCAGTTCTAAAGCAAACTAATAAAAATGTCAAACAAATATATAACCAAACTGAACAAATATAATATATAGTCGAAACACAATGGAACAAGTTTGAAAAGCAAATTGCATGAAGTGTCAACACATGTAACCATGAATTGTCGTGCTAGTGGATTGCTTCATTTGGTCCACAAGGCGATCTTTGTTCTCCCGTGGCTCTATTAAAGCCTCTTTGATTAAAAGGATTTTCATGACAAAACTCAAGAACCTGAATCATTAGAATTTTTTCCTATGTGAATTTTTTAATTGTACGACTGAATCTTATAGGATTTTTTTAAGGAGTCATTCACTCTATATTTCATAGGAGTTTTTTCCCTCTAATCAAACCTCCTGGAAAGATTCATTTGTTTTGTTGTTTTCAACCAAACAAAGTTAGTACTAACTCAGCTATAAGTGGGCTAATATTGCAGGCCTAAGATTTTTCTATTGTTATTCTGAATCCTGCAAATTGAAAGGGGCCAAGATCTAGATCATATGGTCTTTATCAGGATGAGACGTTTTCGATCTAGCCATCCTCCCAACCGAACTACTTCCGCTCTTAGGATGATTATTGTATATGATACATATATATACACAATTGACACACACACATACTGTAGCCGCTAAATATGTTATCACTAGCCAACATTATAGATAGATGATGTAAATGGATCATTTGCAATGCAAGCAAACTGCATCAGCAAATCAATGTGGATGAGAGAAGACTGGCTTTTTTCCAAATTATGCTGCCCGCAGTGATTTTCCGCACCATGTAAGATACGGTTTCTGCTCATTGTATGAATGCTCACTAACACTGTGGTATAGGAAAGTCTAGTACTATGAACAACCAAGAATACAATGCTCGGTTCTGTTCAGTACGCAGGGGCAATGCTACTACCATCAGCATTACAGATAACAGAGTCACAAGTATAGTCAAAATTGCAGATATACATATACTGTCAGCTATCTCGGTAGGTTTGTCTCTTCCAACTGAAAGGGGCTATACTTTTTACACGGCTGGCTTCAGAACTTCTACTTGTGGGTAAGGCCACCAATTACAACCCAACATTTCTTACACAAATGAACAAGAAAAAAGAACAGCAACAAATTGAAAGAAAAAATTAGGCTGGACAAAGAGAAAAAAACCGCCTTATCACTCGGTGAAGCCAAAAACCGCTGCCTTGCAGGAGCACGTAAGGCGACAACTACTGTCGACGAGACTACCAGATGACTCTGAGGTGTTCTACGCTACAGTATGGATGGTTAACGATGGGCTTTTCTTATGCAACCTCCCCTTGAGCTGCTTAATCTTTGCGTCTACCCTTGCGGTGAAACCAATCTTGGTCCTCTGTCTCGCCTTAGACCGTTCCCTCTTCCACATTGTTTCGTCTTCGACGTCTTTCCGTAGGTACTTGATCTCCTGAATCACATGGTGATCAAGTGGATTGCATGATCTCTGGTAGGATATGTGAATCAGGTAGGGGATGTTGCAAGCAGCAGTCACCAGAAGGGTCGCTGCCCAGTAAATGGGAGCTGGCCCGAGAACTTCTGTCATAATCTGGAAGTTGTCTCGGGACTTCAAAGCCATCCCGTATGTGATAATGAAGACATACCAAGTCCCTATGCTGCCCCACACAAACAAATGTTGAATCCAGGTGAAATGGCTCATTGTCAGAGCAATCTGTATATTGACAGCCCAGATGATGCAGGAGAACATGGTGGTTCCCACTGAAGCCATGTCGGCAGTCTGTCCACCAGAGCGGATTGCTTGATCATAGAATATACAGATGTTGAGAAAGAATATCGCCAGAGATGAGTAGAGGCCATTCGCCATCCATCCTAAAATCCGGTACCAGTCAAAGAAAAGGTTATTTGGTCCTTGCTGATATAGCGCTGGGAACTGCAAAGTGAAAATTATGCCATATCAGTTGGTGGACATCCAGATTAAGTCCTATGGTGCAAAGGGCCAACACATACAGAAATTTAAATGGAAGTGCATAGAATGACTTGTGCCTTTCATTAGGATCACTCATCCATAAATACTTGAAGTAGATATTCATAGAACTGTGAATTCGTGTTATTGAATAAAGAATGAAGAAATGGAATTCAATGCACATTAAACCAAACTATATTTCTAAAATTCCAACACTCTATATCAACGGAAAGGGAACACACATGAATTAAATGAACAAGCATACTGAAAGAGGATAGAAACTTATGTGTAAGTGTAACCGAAACATGGATAGTACTTATTATGGAGTAAATTTTAGAGTACTCACAATTCCTTTTGTACTTCTCTTAAACATGCATAGCAATGTCATGAGCATAATGTTGTTATTCTGGTACTAGGCAGTGGCGCAATACTACCTAACCCCCAGATGGGACTATATTCGGGATTCATGGTTGATGAAACAAAGTTCGACACATTATTCATATCTCCTTTGTTAGCTTCAACTTCGGAAGCGTACTGATATGGAAGCAAATAAACAAAATAAAGAGAATCTTCTGCAACAGTCACA